AGCAACGTATCTGCTAGATAAACGCTCAAACAGACAACTCACACATGTTTGGATATTGCAGTTTTAACCATATCATCCTGCGGGACTTGTCAAGCAACTGCTAGTTTACCCGGCATAAATCACTGTTCATTGTTGCTATCACACAAGAGCAATCCACCTCAAGCACCCGTTATCGAAAGCCAAGAGCCGGAGCATGTCATCCACACGAACTGGCCACGATTCGCTTCCATAGAGCAACATCGACAGAACGGTGGCATTGTAAACATGACTTTTTGTCAAGAGAGAAACATACCGAGTGTCTAGGTAAGCAAACGCCGATCGAGCTTTGGCGATGGGGAGAGAAATTTCCTTCTTAATGGTGCCACGCTGAGATAATCAGATTTCGTGATCATCGCGTAGGCCATGTTTGAGCTGCCGACTGACAGAGAGGTGCACTTCATTTTGCTTAGACTCCGCTGAGAGATTCCTGCGGCGGCCAAATAGATCCAAAGGGCGTGCGAAGATCCAGGACTTCATAGGTTGTTGAGTAAGAGGACAGACTAACTGCCCGGGAGAGATCATGGTTCTCTGCATGACCGTCGTGTTCACTGATGTCTTGCGGGAAGTCGCAGCTAAGCGTATCGGCCAAGGAAGATTGATAGCTCTACCGAACCGAGAGAGTAGATAGTTGATTTGTAGACACCTTGCAGTGCTTCTTTTCGGAGGACCCTCCGAAACCCGTACAGATGTTCGCACAGACAAGAGCATGGTCTGAATTAAGAAAAGTGGACCAGATGGATCTGCAATCCTTTACACCGCCATCTGAAACGGATTGCGATATGGTCAATCTGAGACCATAACTGAAAAGCGGAAGGGGGGAGCGCCAAGTAGCGGAACGTTTCCACGAATGTCTGAAGCTAGTGCTCAAGAGAAATAAACGAATGTCTTTGCAGTGTGAGAAACCACTCCATTATCTGAGCGACTCTCATCGAACGCATGGTGACCACGGAGGTGACTCGCAAAATAACAGACGACCGACCCGTGCGTCGAGATCTTCAGCAAGAACAATAACGGATTTGCAGGCTCTGTTCAAGAGCTGGTGAAGTTCATGAAAATATCATCCTTGCCCGAGTCACAAGTGCAGTCAATTAGAGCGTAAGCTGAGAACACAAACAAGTCGCGTCTCTTCTCACGACGTCTGTCGATCCTGCATGATTTCCGAAGACAAACTGTACACAGTTAGCTATTAAACTGGAACCAGTCCATCACGGCGGCCTCGGCTTTGCTACTTAGTGCTACACCAACGCCAGCCAAACCTGTAGCGGCTGCTTCCGTGTCACCAGATAGACGTAGGTGAGAGATGGCTCCGTGGTCGGTGGGAAATTTCAAGTCAATCTCAGTACTGGGGTCTTGCGTGTTTCAGAAGGACAGCAAACATCGATGGCGAGAGATTCCAAGGTGCGCGCAAGACCAGTCTGCGGCCTGATCTGCATGAGTGTACGTACATAGTAGAACGCCGGACGGAACAAGAATCGAGGCAGAAGGAAGGTCATTGGACGACCTCTGTGCTCGTCGGTGAAACCATCGGGAGTAGAATCAACGAAACAGGAATATGCGGGAAACGGAGAACAGTGAATTATAACAAATGAACAGTTGGTGTGTAAAGGCGTGAGTAGCAGAGGCAAAAGCAGCTGAGCGCGAAATAGCAGATGAACAGTCCATGGTTTTGTCAGTGGGCGTGACACTACCCGGTTGCCCAAACCGAGGTAGGGAGTTGTCTTAAGGTACACCACTCCAAAATCCCTGGCTAAACAGCCTGCCCGCAAGGCAGACGGGTGAATTCATGGAATCGCGCCTATTTAGTCATTTGGTAAGACGCCAAAGAGGGGACTAATCCACCCTATGATATCAGTACACTTTCTGGAGTGCAATGTTTCACCGAGGTGAAAAAGGGGCAGTGACTTTATTTAGTATCGTCACATGCGCCATGTCGCAGTGCTGTTAAACAGACATTCGGCTTTTATAACGAGAACGCTTGCCAGGGGTAAACTCACTACGTCCTAGAACAGCGGGGCCGAGTACTTCGCTGGAACGGGGTAAACCCGAACCACCCAGCTGGCACCACGAAGAGGTAGTTCGGAAAGACAGCCGTATTCAAAGGAACGGCCTAAGGAGTAGGACAACCACTGGCTGGTAACGAACATAGTAGTTTCGGCCAAGTGAATTGATTTTCAAAGTGCGCAGCCCAACGCCTTAAGCATTGTAACGGGTTGAGGATAAGTTGTTCACTAGTGTCATAGACAGTCTCGTTAACACCAAGTCCCCTGTTGCCCGTTTTCCGTATCGGACAGAATAAATTACGTCGGTTACCAAGATTAGCTGCTGTTTCCATCTCCGACGTAGGATGAGACCACCAGGCTTCATCGTCTATTTTCAGACTGGTGTGTAGTTTTGCCCTGAGAGATTTGCGAGTCTCAATGTGTTTTTTCCTAGCCGGAATGTGTCGTCGAGATTCTATAAGTTCCGGAAACTTCACAGAGGCCCAAAGTACAGGTTGGAAACCAGATTTACCACATGAAGATATGGCTGCTGCTAATAAGGTTTGGCGAACATGCGACCACTGACATTCAACTGTGCTCAGTGAGCGGTTATCCAACCCGAATGCCAGCGTACTTTGGTAAGCATTCAGAATATCTTCGCTAGTTGGCGGATGTCCATGTGTTTATAACGTCGTCGTGGGCGTCCGCTGGAACGCACCCGGAGATCTGCACATACTGGTGTATAGTCGGAATTGGCGTTTGTTTTCCAAATCGACCGGCAGATTTGGATGCAGCCTCTCCAGCGGTGACTGATCGCGATGTGATCGATTTGCACCTATGGTTGGAGATCGCTAGTAACTATGCGGGGGCGGGGGTGCTATGTCGGAAGTTAGTGCCCGCGAGTATTGAGGAGCTTAACACAAATGTAGTAACCGCGTACCGTTAGTTATACGGCAGCCAACCCCATGTTGGCCGCCTAGATAGAACTCACCACTGGATATTGTTCCAAGTTAAGCGTTCAGATCACCAGCCGGCATCAAAGTACTCAAGCTGCTTCTGTAACAAAAAAGCTCGTTCAGTTGACGTAGTAATGACAAACTGGCGACTACTGACCAAGTGCGACTTCGAACCTTTGAACAAGTTAGACAACCTAACAGCGCACATTCGATTAATGATTGGATTCCAGTCAATCAGAGCGGCATCAACCAGAGAGCTCGAATCAATGCACACACCACTTTGACCAACCTTCGAAGCTGCATCATCTTTGGATAGACGCAATTGGAAAGTGGTGCCAGTGTCACGTGAAGGTGATCGTAGAGTAAACACAGAGTTTGAGTCTTGGATGCGGGTTTCCAATAAGCAGCAGATATCGATCGATGGGGTCTGGAGTTCGGGCGAGTGCCGCATGTCGACCGATCGGCAGCACAGTGTGCACACTGAAGCATGCCAGTTTTGGCATCGAGGGCTCCATATAGAAGCCGGTGGACTGAAGTTGTCCGCATGGTCGTACATAATCCTATAGAGAGAAGTGAAGCTCCACAATTGTGTGAGCTGAAACTATAAAAGCAAAGTGGGGAGGACCGAGACTTGGGGGGTTGAAAACAAGGTGGATAAAAGTGAAGTTGGAAAGAAACGATGGCAAGGAAAAACGGCAAGATGGAGAATAAAAAGACGGGGTGTGAGTAGTGGCACACATACTTCTATCCATCCCGATTGATGAAACAAACAAAGCGGCATTGAGTATCCACTGTAATTGCCAAAGAATTAAGAAATTGTTTGGTGAAACACCAATTGGGTTGCATAAGTAGCATTCTGTCAGGTTGTCCAGGCCCAGAGAGAACGATTAGGGTTATTGTCAGGCCAGCCCGCTCATAGCGGCCCTCAGGGCCGGACTCCTCGCTGGTAACAACTTGAGGCCAGTTGGCTAGCCAACGAGAGCGTGTTACCTTGAAGTTCATCAATGAGAATGACTTACCTTGAAGTCTCCCAGTGAGCGCACATTTCCAGCCGCCAACGAGTTCATTTTCATGCATTTGGCAGTTGCTAGAACCCAGGGACTTTCCATCAGGTCACTCTCCCATGAACTATTAATTTAATCCCATCTATCGGTCATACTGCTTAACGTCTTCCCAACAGAAGTTTTGTCAGAGGACGTTGTCCTTTGTTTTGGCGGTGGGTCCAGATCGTGCAATAACAGTAGCTTATCCGTATGGCCAGCGCGAACCACAACGGACCACAACTACAGCCTCTGGTTCAAAAAACCTCAAAGCAGTGGTAAGTTAACGGAGGAATAAAAGAATAAGGAGAATAAGGAGTTATCATCACTCCAGCCTGAAGAGTCAAAAGCCAGAGTATCTGACTGAAATTATCCCTAACCATTGACTAAGCTGGTATGAGTACTCTGAAAGTGTAAAGCACTACCTAGCACTGCTCAACGGATCACTAAGACAAGCGAAAGATCGCATCACGATGAGGTTCAATCTGATTGTGATGGTCGCATCTGGTCAGTTGTGATCGGAGCACCGGATTGCGCGTACGCTACGATAGATTGCGGCCGGTGGAGGGAAGAATTTCGTGTTTGTCTCGCAATCCGGAGGTCACCGGTTCGAATCCACGCAGGGGCGGGCGACCTAGCGGCATATCCAGTCAACGCCCAACCGGTAAAGGCCGCGTGGCAGCGAAGAATCCGTACGCTGTTCAAGCGTTGCTGATGACGCCTTCTTTATCACAGATCCCACAGTCGAAATGTGGTAAGAAAAAATACTAGGCAACGGAGAAAAGTGAAAAAACTCACGGACCAAAAAAGCATTAACGATCGAAAAATCAAAGCGAGAAGTAAGGGACCGTACACAAGAGGGACACCGAAGTTGAGAATGTGAGGTATGGGATAAGGATCTAAATGCCACTGTGGCCCATCCAAAGGTCAACAGTAATAACATGTCAGACCAAGTAGGAAAACGGCGACGCAGTTCACATGCTCACCTGCAATCTGGCAACGCCTTAGCATATTCCTGCATTTGTACGTAGCACAAAGCCCGATTGGAATAATAGGAGGAAATGTTGGGTTGCTTTTTGATGGCGGACGTATAATAGAGAACAGCTTCTTGATATCGGGCCTCGGAGAATGATCGGTTGCCCATATCTTTCAAAGTGTGATGAGGGAGCTGAGATAGACCCAATGGATCCATCTTAGTCATTAGGAGCTATAAAAAGTGAGATGACGGACAATATGAATTTGAGTTGATCATCTGCATCCATTTCGAACTACAGACAAGTTCAAGAAATTGCAAAAAAGACAACACTGTGGGTTTATGCTTAATTGTGAGTAACCGAAGGAATAAGAAAAATTTAGGACCCATGCATTCGGGCAACTATACCGGTAGATAAATAAAGTTCAATAATGCGAGTGAAATGGCCAATACAATTAAAAAGTGGTTTTTCGTATAGCTCAACGTCACAAAGCCAAACCATGGAAAAGCAGCCTTGGGGTCTGGTCCAACAAGGCACCAACAAGTGTCGGGATTGTCAAAGAAATGAGGAAAGACTTCAATGGGGAAAAAAGGAAAATGGCCATTTGAAATCCATTCATTTTTAAGTACCGAAACGACTCCAAGTCAATAACAGGGATCGAAATGCGGCTTGCCTGGCTGGTTCGATCGTCAAAAACCAACATTACAATCGCGTGGAGATTAAGAGTTACTAATAGTTATATGAAGGTAGTAAAATTCTTAAATATTAGCGAATTTAATGAGCGGTAGTGATAGCGTTTTCAGCTGCAACTGACAGGATGAAAAAAAGGTTACCTTTTTATCTGCGTATGAGTGTGTGAAAACATAGAAACTATCAGTACAACGTGAGCTATGTCGTGCGATGCAAAGAGATGTAAATGTTATCGGCGAGTCCGTTGGTCTAGGAAATTTCTCCTGCTCTTAGTGCTGCTTCACTCGGGGTTCTTGGGCACTCTGAGCAGTTTGTTCCTGTTCAAAAGCTCTGTTATCAGCATCATGGTAGCCGGTTCCCAACGATATGCGATATACGTCAATAGCCCCGCTGTCTTGCGGGTCAGGTCTTTAGACCGAAGGTTCCGGGTGGGGTCGCATAAGTTAATCCTCTTCCTCGACAACCGGGAAGTACCATGCCCACGTAACCAATGGACCAATGTTTCAACGATTTCCTGCTCTCTCTCTCCCTGCACTTTGCCAACACTTTCCTCGGCCGAGGTGCTGACGGCCGAACATACCATATCACGCTCTACTGCACCACAGTTTGGTTACTTTATTTCATCTTTGTTCAATTCCCCTATCCTTGGTAATCCTCCTCCATTTCTGAGTCCACATCGTGCCGTCTTAAGTGAGTGTTCTCGCCACAGGGATCAGAAATTTAGGTCCCAAGGTGTGACAGCAAGTAGTACTGGCAAACCTTTTCTAGCGGCCCGTTCCCAATTCAAGCTGGCAACTTTTAACGTCCGGACACTGACGCAGATCGGATCACAAGCAGCTTTTGCTCGCACGCTTGAGACTACTGCCACTGATGTCTTCTGCCTCACTGAAATCCAATTACAGGACCCTAGCACGACGCTACGACGGATTTCGCCGTCTGCGAGTTCCACTGGCATTTTCACCTTGCGGTTATCTGGAGATGAAACCGATGAAGCCGCTGGTCTTGCTGGCGATGAGATTGCATTAAGCACACGTGCAGAAGCCGCGCTACTTGACTGGATTCCTGTCAGCAGTTGACTCTGCGCTATCCAACTTGAGACAGTGCGGTTTGCAACCGTTGAGCCAGTAGATGTTGCTTGTTCGTGGTAGCAGCATACAGTCCCCCAGACTGTAGCTCAGAGTCAGCAAAAGACGAGTTCTATTGCCAACTGTGGGAATTGCACCGAAAAAACGCCGTATAGACATTGTGGTGCTTGCAGGGGACTGAAACGCGCAGGTCGGTAGACTTGAAGTTTAGAGCATGAATTCAGTGGTCAACATGGCCATGGCACTCACAGAACAGGTAATGGTGATCGTCTACTTCAGCTTGGTGCCGAGCACAGGCTCTTCCTGTCGAGTACTAGCTTTCTGCAGTCCTGGCGCCAACGCGTGACCTGGAGGCCTCCGTCACCTGGCCAGCCATAAAGGCAGACTGACCACATCGCCATCAGTTACCGCTGGCGGGGCTGCATACATGATTGCAAAGCAATCTGGAGTACGCACCTTACTATGGACCACGCGCTCGGGTGCCAAGATTGCCTTACGTTTTGGTGGCTCCCAACGGCGTCGTCAGACACGGTTTGACGTAGCCAAACGTTATGCCCCAAGCGTTCTTAGCGCGTTTCAGAACATGTTGGCCTCAAATCTCAAGAGCATCTCATGCTCTGACGTTGAAACGCACTCAGCACACATCCGCAGCGCCATGTATAACTCTGCGACCCAGGTCAGTGGTTTCAACAGTTCTGTCAACCACTGGATGTCTGCACGAGCACTCCAACTTCTCGAAGCTCGTCGGGCAATTCCAGCTGGTGTTTAGTATCATTCAGTGCGCAGCAACACTAACGCTGAACACAAACAGATCGTCAGGGAGGACCGCGAGGCCCGGTGGACGCAACAAGTCGTTGATATAGAGCGGGCAGCCAGCTCAGGGAATTTCCGAAAACTTTTTTACCTGATCCGATCCAATGGCGGCAAAAGGCCGACTGTAAGCGAAGTTTTGTGCGAATCCACTGCCGTCGACTTGTGTGTTGAGCTGGGCACTTTGAGTAGCAGTTCAACTGGCCTGCAGCCCCGGTGATCCCTCATTCGAAAATTCGTAGTGCTCCCTGGTGTGTAGACGCTTCACCACCTGAGGCTGAGGTTGCTCATGAGCATCGCCTCCTAAAGTGCTACAAAGTCCCAGGCCCGGACGCACTCCCTCCAGCTCCTTTCAAAGATGGAGGTCTATCAGTTGTTCGGGAGCTAGCTTCCCTCCTCCAAAAGGTTTGGACCACCGAAGCAATCCCGTCCGATTGGAGTCTGGCGGATATCGTGCCCGTCTTCAAAAAGATTGCTCGGACGGACTGCGCTGTCCACAGAGGGATTAGTCTCATCTGCGTTGCCCCTAAAGTGCACGCCGCCCTGCTTTTAAGGAGGCTCATCCTGGTAGGTGAACAAAACATACGCGAACAGCAAGCTGGGTTCGGTTCAGGCCGGAGTTGTATGGGTCACATTTTTACACTCCGCTAAATACTCGAGCGTCGTCAAACGTTCGGTCGGCCAATGGTCGTTGTCTTCCTAGACATAGGAGCCGCGTTTGACTCAGTTGACCGGGCCACTCTCTGAAGCTGTCTCTTGAGAAGGAGAGTGCCTGAGAAGTACGTCAACATCCTTTGAGCCATCTACTCTCGAACCTAGGGCCGAGTGCGGGTGTACGGTGAACTTTCGCCGCCCTTTGTTATCACCAGTGGCGTGAGACAGGGCTGCCCTGCATCCCTTTCCTGTTCAATTCCACTACCGATGACATACTGGAGGGCGCTTTGGAGCATCGCGGAACCAGAGGCGTTGAAGTGCTTACGGAGGACCGACATCTCCGTAATTTGCGATTCCTCATAGGCCACACAAAATGTGCTGTGCGGGTTGGCGGTGTCTGTCTCTCAGTTTGGAATGACCGCCCCTTCGAAGTGTAAGGTCTCCGTACAGGACTGGCCAAGATCTGTTACAAGCCTTACCCTATCAAGTTAATCTCTGGAAGTGGTAGACAGGTTTCTTTACGTCGGAAGCTGCATCAGAGCTAACGGTTTAACGCATGAGGTCTCCTTGCGCGTCTCTAAGGCTCGGGTTGCGTCTGCTAATCTCCGCCATCTCTGGCGTCGCCGCGACCTGAGCTTATCTTTGAAAGGCCGAGCCTATAATGCCGCGGTGAGAGCGATCCTGCTCTACGATTGCGAGATTTGGCCCATTCGCGCAAAGGAAGTTCAGAGGCTGTCTGTCTTTGATTACTGCTGCCTTCGGAGCAATACTGGTGTGCTGTGGCAGCACCACAGTAGTGAGGATGTTCGACGAAGGATTTTCAAATAAGATAGAGTTCGCCGGCCGCTAAGCTGTATAATTTCACTACATAGGATTCGGTGGCTTGGGCATGTGCTTCGCATGCCTACTGAGCGTTTGCTTCCCCGTGCACTCGGCGCGCACAGAAATCGGCTGGAAGCGAAGATAAGTTGGTCAGCGAATGACTTGGGACAAAAGTATGAAAGCGCTGACTTCACATTTGGCCGCGGTCAGGCGCTCTCGACTCCCCGGTTGGGGCCAAAGGACCATGAACAGACTTGGCTGGAAACACTATAGGACATGTCAAGAAATCGTGAGCAGTGGCGAATATGTTGTGAGACTCTGCCTCCATGACTCTAGTTTTGCCATTTTTACCCTCTGTATTTCCTTATTATTGTTTATTGTTATGTTTGTCCATACGTTGTGGCACCCTGCCAAATGTTAGCATTATTGCAACAACCGTTGGGAATGAAAGGTACACAGACCATGAATCAAGCGAACAGGATGGACGATACGACATAGGTTCTGAGAGCCAGACACAAGTTACAAGATTACCGGAAATTCAAAACTGCAAGGCTACAATCTCAGGATGTGAATTTTGGCAACCGATAAACACAGTGGCGCAACAACTACTTTTGCTGTCAGGGGCGGTGGTAAGATTTTCACCCTGACTGGGTCATAATAGGTGCGTGAAGGCCACACAATCGGCTCAGGGTAAAGTGACATCTGTGTTTGATGAAATGGATGATCGTCTGGGACACTGAGGTAAATGTGATGAAAGTTATCAGAATGGGACAAGGGGATCACTGGGAAGAACGTTTGAACAGGTGACACATGGTGCAAAGGTGTTGTTGGTCATAGAGACCGTCAACCCTCAGCCTATAGGGATATTTTGCTCGCTCTATTTGGTATGGAACAATCGACGGTACTAAAAATGCCGCCCCTTGTCGCATGCCGCCAGGGGCGGACCGCCTACTCGCCTCCCTAGGCTACGCTTCTGGATAAACAGGTAAACTATCTTAATATTACTAGCAAGGTGTAAACCGTTGAGATCAAATCGGATAACTGTATGTGACCGGACACTTATATGCAACCCATCTAACTATTATGATTCGAGTCACCGAGGTAACATAAATAAACGGCGAAATGGGAAAACGATGGTGAAAAACGCGCATAGGAATTCAGTCGGACTATGGT